CAAATAAACGCATGATAATATTATTATTATTGATAAGATTATTACCTTCATTTATTTCCAAAATTAAATAGAAGTATTAAGGATTCACTTAAATCAGTCACTGATATTAATTCTATACCAATGCATAAATACAAAAAAGCCTACACTATTTGAAATCTGTTTAAAAATTTCTATATGAAAATATGAATCTTGAGGTTGTAAATGTATAGGAGATATTTCAAAGTTATTTATGTATAGTTATTTAAGTTTTCTGTGCAAATTCACTTTTAGTAATATTTGAGTATTTGTAAACGCAAAACAATAAATTCAAAATTTCATGTGACATTCCCGGATATTCCCATATAACCTAAAATATTCCCAAATGGAATATTGATCTACTTTAATTAAATGTTTGCATGTCGATAATGACTTATCGATAGATTATGGTACGACACTAAAGAAATCCGCCATTTGTTCGTTCAATTTTGTTTAGGTATGCTCGTTAATTCCGTAGTTAGGGCACCTCCTTATCGTATAAGCCCCGTTTAGACCAGTGTTTCCCATCTGTCAAACTTTGATAGAATTTAGTACACACTGTGGTTTTTATAGCAACACTTAGCCGAAAAGATGGAATTAATACCCGCTGGGTTGTCTATCGTCTCACGTGGTTATTCGATTGTTCTTTTATATAATCGTCGCCTTACTTTCTCATACTCGTATCTTAAAGCACAAAGTTATTGAAATGCAATAATGAATTGTATATACAAATTTTGCAGGCGGAGTTCACATCACGTTTCCCTAATATTCACACACTGGCTTTTACCAATTCTTAAAGCAATGCAATCCAATCCAATTAACACCCTTCATAAGAAATTTAAAATAAATAGAAAGTTTTGCTATCTCCTGAATAATCACTCTTTATATAATACGAGTTTGAGAGAGTAAGACATCAATATACCTTTTTAATTTACGGGACACCAACTTTATTGGTAGTTTATACTTTTGTCTTATTTCCTTTATTTTATTTCATTATCATCAGCATCTTGTGATACACTTTTGATCTTCTACTTTTTATGACTGTATTTAGAATCGCACATAATTTTTTTAGCAGTGTATAATGAATAATGAAATGACTGTAAGAGTTGCATCTCACTTGTCAGCACGCTCCAGCACCGCGTCTATAGTACACTGTGTTTTATGGGGTTTCCTGAGCATGCTTCATGCTGAAACGCGCTGACGATAGGGTTGGCTCTAAATTGGCCTTGCCATGTAATTTATTATTTGCCGAAGTTTACATATTATTTTTATCTTGTAAAAGTGGTAATTAGTGGATCGATAAAGCAGTGCTTAGAAATAAATAATATTGAATAATTTTGTGTTTGATTTATATACCTTCATTGTTTGAGTTATACACATTTAGTTTTTAAAATTAATATTTATTCTAAACATCTCATGAATAATGTTTTAATAATAGTGGTGCATTTGACAAGTCCATACGGTCCAGTCTAATCGCATGGGTGTCCCACAAGGTTCAATTCTATGTGCGTTTCTGTTTTACTATACATAATTATATTAATGGTTTACATGGTAATTAAATTGTTGAAACGGCTCAGCTCAGCAGTGTACGCGATGAAGAAAAATACAAAAAATTTCAGGCGATGAAACTGCTAGATTGGTTTACTTTATCTGCTTTCACATTTACGCGACTTATGGCATTTTGCTTTGGGCTAATGCATGTGGAAATACAATTATTGTTCTGCTGAAGCGTGACAATAGAGCAATTTACGAACTGGGCCCCAGAGTATCTATGAGATACAGGCTTAAAAAAAATTAACATTCAGTTTATTTATCAAAATGAAATTTATGTTAAGACGCATTTTTACACAAAATAGTGCAAAATGTAACATTAATATGAATAATCAACATAAACCGGCTTTTCTTGACAGTCGTGGTCGTAAAGTTTTTCTTGACTGTCGTGTTCGTAAAGTTACAAATTATTTAAGGGGTAATGTATGTATATAAGCTTCTATGATAAATTCCTGTTGATATTCAAAGTTTAAAATTATCGTGAAAACAAAACTTGATGTAAAAATTATTATATTATAATTATGCAGCGTCTGCGTACTCGGATGACAAAATTCCGTGGACGTCAATGGATTCATTGGGTTCTTTCAGGTGGTTTCTACGTATTAAACAAAAATAGTAAATAAATGATTAATGTGAACAAATGTCTACGAAGTGCAACCTCCTCCATATTCCATCTGCCTAACGAATAAATAAATAAAGCACACACTCATAACTCCTAGCTCCTCACTAGGGAAACCCTGTATTGCGCGTGCTATGGACACACACACATAGACAACCACGAATTACACCCAAATTCACGAGAAGAATAAATGTAGGCCATACAAATATTTCTTCCGGCCCGAAACCTGGGACCTCTGCGCCAGCAGTAACAAGTGGTAACTGTTCGGCCACGGAGGCAGTTAATGAGTTATCATCGTCATCAACAACCCATGTCTCACTGCTGGGCACGGGTTTTCTCTCAGGCCTGGGTTTAGGCAATATTTCACTATGCTGGCCCAATACGAGTGAGTAGTAATGTTTAATCAATCGATTTCAAATGTGAAAGGCTTACCGATGAAATAAAGATATTCTAAATTAATGGAAATTAAATGTATTAGCAGTAATTAAAAATAGACGGTCAAACGTAAAAATATAAAATTATTGAAAACTACTAACGGCAAATGCTCGGTTGGCTTTTCGTCGCGCGGTAGCCTCGCTACGTTAGTTTTGCAACGAGATAGCCTCTCGCGCAAAATCGTCACACTTCGGCCGAGGCAGCATCGCAAGTCTGTTTTCAGTAGCAGTAGAGTTCGTTGTGAAGAGTTCGTCCAGAGACGTACTGCCACCGTAACCTATTTCTGTCGCCAAGCAGTAATGTGAGCTGCGTTCCGGTTTTGAAGGGTAAAGGTGTTGGTGAAATTAGAGGCACATGCGACTTGTCAATTTATGTCTCAGGGTGACAGGCGTAGTGGCAGTGTCCTTCAGATCGCAGTACACACTGAAAAAAATCCGCGCGTAATCGGCCCGACTTATTATGTACCCGTTGACTTAAAAAATTAGCCTAATGATCATTGACTTAGAAATAAATGGACGACGGGTCTAATACAAAAACCCAAGTCAACCTATTTAAACGTAGTGACATGTAAAGGAATATGAACAAGCTAAAACGTTGAATTTAAATTGTAATGTCATCGCAGTACTGTCTAATTTTGCTTGCTTCGCTGTCAGAAGAAACAAATGAAGACTAAAGCGTGAATGACGCTCTGTATACGATTTTAACGCCCTATAAGTTCGGACACTTTTTAACGCGGACCCGACGTCCATATAATTGTAAGTCAATGCTAATGATGAAAAACATTTGATCGTCGACTAAAAGCCTTTTTGTTAGATAATGTGTATTATTCCACTGCAGAATATAGGGACATCTTGTAATATATGTTGTAATTTATTAGATTATTAGGTATAAATATTATTTTACAGAAATGAATAAATATCATAAACTTAACGCGTGCAATCATTATATTGACATAATTATTATTATATTATTTAATATGTTCCTACATTATTTGACATAACTACATTAAAATTACGTAGTACAAAACTTGTACCGGATATTTGTAATGTTTTGAAATGTAACATTTTTATTACTATTTGTAACGATTTTTGTAATACAATATATTGTATATAATAATGTAATGTTTACAAGATAATAAATAAATTTAAATCTCTGCTATGGACTATGCATGGATATATGCATGTCGCTTAACACCAGGCTCATAATTAGTTCGTCCTGTCACTTGGTGTCTTAAAAAAAAGGGTGCCCGCTTAGTCAGTACGCGGCTAACGACACAACCTTAATGACGACATACAAGCCAATGATCGTTTTGTTAAAAAGGGACAAGCATCCCCCAACACTGACGAGCTCGAAAAAGGAATTTTAGGGATATTTCGCAGTTCCTGAGACCCGTGAAATGTAACATCCCTTTACAGGATGCAGGAGTTTACAAGCTTGACTGCGATTGCAGTCTCTACTGGACAAACGAAGCGAAGTGTTTGTACCCGCGTCAAAGAATATATAGCTGATGTCAAACACCGTCGTTTAAACAAGTCTGCAGTCTGCGAGAATGACATAGTTAAACTTGCACATTCAATCAAGTTTGATAAACCCCAGGTCCTTGCTAAAGTATTCCGTTATCTAGTCAGGATGATGTGAGAGGCCATTGAAATTAAAAAAGACATCCAAATTTTTCGGCCAAATTAAAAAAAAAATTTTTTAACACCAGTTCGGGATCCAGTATTTTCTTTGATGAAAAATCCCAAATAGACAGACTGCAGTACTAACTAATGTATTATGATTTATTCTAAATTTAGTACTCAATAATAAATTGAATTTAATAAAAAAATTCATATTCTTAAAAATAAAATAATTGTAAAATATATGTAGCGTAAATTAAAATGTACCTTGTAAAATGAAAAATATGGTATTTAATTAATAACTTTCGTAACTTTAGTGAAAAATAAGGTGGTTTGCATTAATATTAGACATAACTGGTTGATGAGTTTACCATTTCAGTCAACCGTGACCATGGTACCTGTAAAGGGCCCAAAACGTTGGTTTGTTTGAAAAAACAAATATACGCGATTTAAATCCGGAAAAATAGATTCAATTCCTAAGGAATTTTAGATTCATCTTGACTATGTTCCAGTCCGTATATACACACACAAGCTTACGTGCACGAGCACGTGCACACGCACGCACTGTATATTTAAAAGAAATTTCAAAATAAAACTGCAATGTGTATATTATATGCGTAGTATAATTTTACGTTCCCAGAAATTTCTATATGGTTTATAGATAAAAGACAATATTACATATTATGTTTATCAAAATTGATTTAAAAATAACCTTAGATATTACTTAAGACATATAGACAAAACACTTACTTTTAGAATACACTGAACACGACATTCAATTAAGAAAAAAATTACTAAGAAAGCACCTTCACCTTTTCACTTAATTTTAAAACATAATTAACATTTACTTATTTTAATAGTAAACTTAGAGCAGCTGACATATTAAGAGACAAATTACGTAGATATATTAATAGTTGTTACGATTTTAAAATCACATACACGCCAACTATAAAATTCTATAAATCTTAAAACATGAATGGTATTAAATAATGATCAAAGCTATTTTGTAATTCCAGAATGTCACAAAAAAAAAAAACTGAAACTTATGTTCTGTTCTTTTAAATATTGCCCCATCGAAATAATCGACGATTTCGCCAATATCAAGTAAAAATTACTTTAGTTTTGTAAAAATAATATAAAAATTATAGCGGACGACGCCATTAGCAAGGATAAATAGGATCTGAAATTTATGTTAGGTAGAATTATGATTTCTCATCCTTTTTTGTACCATGGTAATCTAGACGACTATAGCTTAGTTCAAATTATGGGTCCCCAAATTATTATAAGGAAGGAATGTCTTAGTTACACGCAGTACGGTTTACTAAAGTCCAAGCTTTGGAATAAGTTGTAACCTAAAATATTATTTGACATATGTTTGACATTATCATTTTTCGTTCATCAGTTCACCACTGCAAATCAAAGTTTGCCCTTTCGATATAATTATTTACTTAAAGTTACGCAGTGACATTCCATACATAAATTACGGGACCTTTTTCTTGAATACATATTAGACAACACAACATCACATACTTTGCTCTGATTCCAAAGTAAGTAAACAGCCACGGTACTCTAACACCCAGACCCAAGACAATATTGGAAAGTTAATTTTTTATATTGACCCGGCCGGGGATCGCACCCGGGACCTTAGAGACGGCGACACCATGAAAATTGGTGTGTCAGCCACTCGACCACCTGTTGATCTCAAATGTCGTTATTTTCTTAAAATTTGAACTTAGTTAAATTTGAACTGACGTTTAACCGAATGAAAACGTTCCTTAATAATATCCCCTCCCAAATTCCTTAACTCCGAAACTTGGAGTTAAGGAAAATTGTACTGCACTTGACGAGAATCACAAACAACACTTCACAATGTTGCAAGACGGCACAAATACGATAGAATTAGGCATTAATTACTCATTGATAGCGTATTAAAAAGTACGCCACATTGTACATTAGATAATACGATATTTAATAAATTTATGCTATCGATGAAAATGTCGATTAGAATAATCATATTCGATGAAAAAATCCGTTAACGTTATATGACTTATTACAATTACACGTTCATAGTATAGTTTTGCATATTTCAATTGCAATTTTAGTGAGGTAGATACATCGATTTCGTTTCTCTCACGGTTACTTACCGTTATCACACAAATATTTAAAAAGGAATGTAATGTTGTAAAATTCACTACAGTGTTACCAATTTACATTTATAGTTATTACAAATTAGTTTTGTGTGTGAACATTTAAGCGTGAAAATATATTATAGAAAATTAACGGATGATTTATAGATAAAAGCCAGGGAAAAAATCGACAAAGTATTTGGAAAATCAGAAATCGAAAGAGGGTACCTATATAAGTTTCCTAATAAAAAAGTTTGTTTAGCTTGCTGGTAACGAAAGTTTAGTAGTGCATTGTAAGTTATACCTTATACGTATGCGTATTGTGGTTGTTTTTGCAGAGCTGAAACGCCTATTACGGTTACCTCTTTCGGTCGTTGCTCGGAATAAACAAGCATGTACGAACTAATGTAAAAGAAGTACGGCAAGATCGTGAATGTGAAGATCTGTAACAGTCTTACTTATACCACCAAGTACAACCAACAAAAAGTATGTAAGGAAATTTAAGTTGGTAGAAGTTGTTAGATAAATACCTTAGTAGCAATTTATGTCCTTAAATTATTGCTAAGCCGGCCTAAATGTTGGTCTCCATAAATCCCTGTAATTTTTCAAGACAACACTGAAAAAGGATTTTCACTTTTGTACTATAACAACCCTAGCGATTCATTCTTCAGTTAATTAAAACAAAGTCCAGTGTAATTTTATAGACAAAATATAAGGGTTGGTCTTAGTTAATTGACTTTTCTTATCTAAGTTAGTCAACTCTATATATCTAATAAGTCTATTTACGATTCCGAGGGTATGGCAGTAGGTGTAAAGACAAATACGGAATCGTCAAGCCAGTAATATGCCTGTGAGAAGTCGCCTTCGCAGAGGTAGGGGGCCCTAGTCCATGATCGCAACTCGAAGCTTAATTCTTTCCGCATAAAATCGACAAAGGCCGTAACTTGCTCTTCGAAGTTAGCGCCTTGGATCGGAAGACGTTCTTCTGGTTTGTGGTCTGGAGTTACTGAAACAATTAAAAACTATGTGTATATTTTTCGTCTCATCATTGTCAACCTTTTTTTTTTCTACGTCTTACAGCTGGCCCTGTACTTTCGTTCTCTGTCCGACATCCGTCCGAAACAATTACTGCCCAATAAGTAATGCCAAATTAAACGACCCATGATGCGAATGAAGCTTCATACTTGATTTCATAATTGACATTGTCTTTTAATTAACAATGTTTTAATTGACAATGTCAAGCAAATTTGGTCGAGTATTACTTATTTGACAGTAATTGTTTCGGACGGATGTCGAGACGAGACGGAGAGCGAGAGTAGAGCCGAATTGAAGGAGTCGAACCGATCGGGTAGTCTCTAAATCGGATGGGTTCCCGAGCGAGAAGATGAACTTGATTCCTATTAGGTATATATTTCTAATTTGTGTGTTAAATCAACTATTGTTCTGATTTGAAATGTCGAAAGTTTCCGATCGAGAGAGGCAATCAAAATCAAGCTGCTGGACACGAGTTGTGTCTACGGCGAGGGTTTAGGCTTATAATTCACCACGCTTGTCAAACAAATTCGTAAAGCAACACCGCAATTTTTTATTAAACATAAACAGTTTTTCGTCATCAAATCGTCATCACGAGTGTTGCGCGGCTAGTGTCATCAGGTGCGTAGATCTATAAATTAATTAAATTTCAAATCTCCTTGGTAAATTTCAGGCACATGGGATTTATCAACGTATGTCTCAGGGTGACGGGCGCAGTGGCAGTGCCCCTCAGATATCTGCGATTTAAAGCTGTGAGTGGCAATGCGACTGCTATGAACGACTTGTTCGTCCCGTTACTTGATATAATAAATATACAAGTATAGTACGCAAAGTACTTTGATTATTTATACGCCCTACCAGACTCATTGTGGGTTGGGGATTTCGTACGTTTTTCAAGGCTTGTGAACCGTCAATATGCAATTACAATATTCAAAATGTTGTTGCTTTGCTTCACTATCGGCAAGAGGTATTGTCACTAATAGAGATGGGTTGTTACCCGATAATTATCCGTCAATGGATAAATATCGAATAAATATCCGATTCCACTGAGTATTTATCCTAAAACATGGATAATTATTTTTTGTGTTTTTTTTATAATAAAATTCGTTACAGTTCATTTTTTTAATTAAATAATTACGTACGATTACTTCTCATTTTGCCATTCTTTTATGTAAGAATACTGTTTTGGTACCTAAGTTTTTCGAGTCGATAACATCTCACTAATGATAGGAATGTAAAGTAATTGCAACATATTCACCTAATCTTTTATCAACATAAAAGTTGGCTGGTATAGAAAATTCGATTGACAGAAAGTTATCAAATGAACATGTAACCCTTGAGCTGACCTATCCTGCGTTAATAAAGTGGGACCCAACTTTATGGTCTTGGGGTCTACTGCGTACTAAATAAAGTAATGTTTGGACTTGAAATAGCCCAAGGATTCTCTTTCACATTTCACACACAAAATCTATTAATTAAAACACATAATAAAAAAATAAATGTTTATAATTATGTAGGTACACAAAGTGTTTTGATGCGAAGTGCGAACACAATTCTCCTTAGCGGCTCTCTCTCTTTCTTTCGCACTCATTGTCAATTAATAGGCATTGGCAAAATAGTGGCCAAGTGATTTTGAATTGAATATCCTTTGGATTAGAATTAATTATCGTTTTAGTATCTCCAATGAAGTCTGTACAGTTTTTTAAAATAAAATATTGAACAACCAAAAACCCTTATATTCTATATACGAAGCTGAACAACTGTACAATAACGGACCAACTTAGTAACCTGAAAAAAAATTCCACACAAAATGTTAGACAGCTGATTAATATTGTGTGGAGACAATTCCTTTTTTAACAAACTACGCTTTTAAAAAATAATATGGTTCACGCAAAAACGCAGGGATTTACGGTACTTAAAAGTATTATTTTTATTATGGAAAAAAGGTATACCAAGCAATGTATTATACGTACATGCTACTAAATTGTATCAATGTTTACAATTAAGCTTAAAAATATACTTTGTTTTACTAAATATAAATAATAAACCACGATTTAAAATATTTTTCCACGTTTTTCGGTAAATATCGAGTAAAAATGGGTATTTATCTTGAGTATTTATCCCAATGATATTTATCCATGATCCATCTCTAGTCACTAAACATTCACAAAGGTACGTAGAGAGCGGCGGGAGTGGTAGCCCAGTGGAAAAACGGTTGCTCCGGAATTGGGAAAGGTCGACGTTTCGAATCCCTGTGACGTTTCAAATGTAAGTATGACTTTAATTATCGATTGATATGTGTATAATATTATTATAAGTGAACTGTTGATAAATACAACATTAGACTTTAATTTAATTTCAGAAAAGTATACCAAATGAAGAAAAAAAAAACGAAGAAAAATTGTCGATATTTATCACAAATCTATAAACATACCTTATAACATGGACTTACAGTAAGTCAATGCCTTACAAGAAATATTTCTAGGGTCGGAGGGACTAAAGCACATAAATCAAATTCATTTGTTTCTTCATTACTTTTTTTTACTTTGTAACTGAAATTCTAGTGACGTGTTTTTAAAATTTATCACTCTCCTGACATCTTCCAACATTATAAACAACACGAAAAATATATATTAAAAATTTAGTAGGTACTCTTTTAACTTATGTGCTTTAGTCACTCGACATTTAATAAAACATAAGTGCCATGTCACCATTATTTAGTAATAAATATTTAACCATTGTTTGATTTTATATACAAATAATTTTTAATTAGTTTATATTTTTTAGAGTGCTCCCTAAAATTGCAGCGCCCCTGCGGGGTGTCATATGTTAGGAGACCATATATGTATACTTTAAGAAACTTTGTAAAACCATGTGGCAAGCAAATAAAGATGAATATGAATATCTTGACGACCTACTGAGTGATTCGGTGGAGTTGATGATAGAAGCACTATTTTTAATTCATTAAAAAGTAGCAATCAATTAATCAACAGTTTATTGTCTCGAAATAAAAATTTCGATTGTAGGCACAAAGACTTTAAAATCTGTGCTTACAAAGTCAAAAGACAGGCGGGACCGCGGGCCCTGTAAAAGGTCCGAAATGTTTGAATAAACAAATATCCGCGATTTAGATCCGTAAATATAGTTCAATTTCCTGCGTGTAACAGTTTGCGAAAACCTAAGAATTCAATATTTTTCAGTTCTATGAATTTATGTTCTTCTTAGCGTGTCGACTCTGACGTTTATATTTGTGAGGACCTGTACTTAGCGACTGAGACAGAATGAATGAATTTATGTTTATTTTTATCCTACCTTCGACGTAGGGCTTGTAAGGAAGTACCAGCGCCAATAAAAGAGTGCCACCAGGCGAAATAGCGGTACGCGCTTGCTGTAGCATGGTCTTTGGCTTGCTGCAGCGGTCCAGTAAGTTTAGCATGCTGACGCATTCGAACCGCTGCCCGCGCCACCAGTCATCCGTGTCCAGGACCCTGTAATGTTGTTAGATAATCTACTCAGATAATGCTTTAAAGCTTCGAATTATACATTTTAGTGTAATGATCCTATTGAATGTGACATAACACAATGTAAAGTACGTTGATGTCTTTTGTATAGAAAAAAAATGATGAAATCATCAGTGAGAACAAATATTTTATATTATAAAAATAAACTAGTTAAGTACGTACGTAAAGCCTTTACTGACGAGAGCTTTTCGCATGCTTGCGGAGATTTCGGTGGCGTACTTGGTGCCGAAGAGATGTGCGAACCGGCGACTGACCTCGCCGTCGCCCGCGCCGACGTCGACGAGCGCACCCGCCGCACCGGCGGCCACGCCGGACGGAGACTCCGGCTTGTTAAGCAACGTGCGCGCCTGCGCCTCAGACAACACGAACATAGAGCCCCGGCTGAGCCACCTATAACAATAAAATTCCATCACATATATCTTAGAAATGAAACTATTTTTCGGCTCTAAATATACTTACTTGTTTTTATAAACAAACCAACGTCTCTTTACAGGTTCCGTGGTCACGCGCTGACTTATCATGCATAACTTAACTAAACCAGCTGTCTGTTCAAGTGAATGAAACAGTATGTAACGTACGCAATATTATTATTGCAGTGTACCTAGGTACAAAATAATTTTCTTATCTAGGTACATATTAATTTTCTTATCAACTTAATTGTCGAAATAACAAAGTCTGTTCGAAGTTTGAAGCTTCTAATTTAGTAGAACTTCCTTGAAAACGATTTGTAAGTTGATCGTAGTGCATCGGGGTAACAATAGCGCAATTATCCACTACCGTTGGTCGTGTGGTGGTGGCCGTTCGAAGGAGGATCGCGTTGCGCCGCAATTACCGAGGATAAAACACAAAGCGCGCTGCGGGCAACTGCGCTCGGCGTCTAGCGCTCGGGTTCGAGTGCGGCAAATTGTGCGCCTGCGGCGCTGCGGCTAAGCCGTACGGGCACGCCGCGCGGTCGCGCCGCCAAGCCGCCGCCGCCGCGACGTCTTCATCACGCCCCGGGCAAGCGGCGAAAGTGGATAATGAGTAGTAAATCCCGCTCTCATTAGCGAAGAGCGAGCGCGAGCGTCGCAACTATCGATAGGAATTCGTCTTCGCCAGGTAAAGGGATAATCGGGGCAAGGCTCAAGCTCTGTTATTAGCCGTAGTACCATATATCACGCGCGGCATTACCTGCGGCCCCCGGCGTCCGCGTCGCAATTACCGCAGCGTGAACGGCACAAACCGCTCCGTCACAATACCCTATTAGGATAGCCTTATTGGTATCACCCATGTTTCAAAGTGAATTTCTACTTTCTAAGCCACGACATAATTGACATCTTTCAGATGAGGTGGGGACATCCGCTTGCAATACGCCGTACACTACAATTTCCTGGTTATTTGTTGTATGCGATGACAATAGTTTAAGACACACGTGTCGTTATCGAGTACGGATATTGCGAAGGCGGTATCGCGTCGGTTGCACCTCTTTTACGGAGGGCAGTGCCGATTGATTGCTTTATTGTCCCGTCGTCGGCTGGCAGCGGTGGCGGTACTGGTCGAGCGTGTGGCGACGCGCAATACATGATACATGAAGCGGTCGCGCTTCGCAACTAATGAGCACCGACACCACGTAATTGTCACCGGCCGCGGCATAAACTCGTGGGATTCCGCGCCTTGCTGACAGCTCGCGATTGAGTCGCCATTTCAAGCAAAAAGAGAACAAGAATATGACGTCTGTTGTTACTCTGTTGCTCGGAGAGTCGTATGATTGATTTATGATTTATTTAGGACCATAACCAGAATGAGCTTCGATTTTGAGGTGGTTCATTTGTTACACTTAAAAAGTACAAAAGAAACGTGTGAGTTCAGCGGTAAAACACTTTTTGACTGATTTAATACTTTTCATCCAAAGTCAACATTGTGCTGGTAGCTGCGGTGTGTGTAGTCGAGATGAAAATAGTGGAGCAGTAGGTGGATAGGCGTGCCGGAGCACAGGGTATCTATTTCAATAGAATGCGGTGGCTTGCAACAAGGAATCCGATGCGGTTATCGACGACGGAGGTGAAAGATGTGTCGATGGACGGCGGGTGGGTGACGGGGCGCGGGCGGGCGGTATCGCGATTGCATCGGAGAGCAAACAAGCAGGCGGGGGTGTCGCGCGGGCGCTCAAATCATATTACCCCCGGCCTCATACCCACGCCGCGCCACACACGTCATTTAAGTGTGCGTCGCTATGGCGACGGCCCGGGCTGTGCATGATATTAGTACGTGTGCGGCTCATCTCCGGCCGTTTAAACTTAACGCGTTGCCGCTTCGCGCGGGAAATTAAAACCGGCTGCGGACCGGAAGGCGCAATCGACCCTCGCTTATACCATATTCACCGCTGCGGCAGCGTCTCGTAACTCCCCTGGGTTCATACTAAATTTGTGCGCTACCTATCACTTTCGCGTAGAATGAGTATTTTTATACACACTTATAGAGTTGTGCGATGTGATTTATAACAGGTGTTATCCATTTTTACAATATGGATAGGAAGTTTCAGCAAAAGAAATGCTTCGAACTGAAATATCATAGCTCCACATTTTATAGGTAGGTAAATGAATAGGAAGAAGTCAACAACATAACATTATTGTAGACACGTGAAACTATAACTATGTATTTATATTTTTCGTTGATTCGTTAGATTCCGTCAGACACATAAATGTATAGCAGACATAGGAACAACTCCTCCCCTACGTATGTAGATACGTACACATTTGCTCAAAGACATTGTCGCTTTCAGGCACCTCATTAGAGCGCGTCCCATGTGAGCCTACCCACTCTCCACCCCTCTCCCTGTACACACACAAACACAGTCGGGGGGTAATTCTTTCTCAGAGCTCGCAAACTTGGCTGGATAATTACGCTTAGATAAGGACCCGCTTCTTGTTTAATGTCTTTCGTGATGAGACCGTGATATTACAAATGTATTTCACAGAAAAATTAACATTTTAATACTTACATAACGCCTGTAGCTATGTATAAAAAAGGACTCATCTTTTGAAGTTATTTTTATAAGTACATTTTTGAACCTTAATTCTGTGTTTGATAGACATATGAGATATTGTTATCGTCAACTCATTTATACGTCCCATTGCTGGGCACAGGTCTTCTCTCAGGTGAGGTATTGTTATACAAAAAAGATTGAATAATGAGGTGAATTAATTCCAGTAACAACAGAAGTGTTATTTATTATGGCTATATATAGTTTGGACTAAAAGCTGTTCTAAGTTTTTTGTTTGTAATGGTTAAATAAGACATAAAAGGCTTTACAACTGAGATTTTTTGTGCAATATGTATATACATATTGTACAAAAAATATATAGTTTACATTTAAATACATAGTTTTAAGAGAGGACGCACTTATATTTTCCGAATGAATACACGGCAGAACAGTAGGTACATAAAAGACGATGCCAAAAGTTTGAGGGCACCATTAGGAGCGCAGTAAAATCAAGTTCGATAGCATATAATCGAGCCGTCACACAAACTGTTACGCGTGCCATAACCCCAAGCAGTACTCGGCCAATAAACTATAAAAAGTGGATAGTAAAATGTATAAACAATGAGAGCACGGCTAAAACGTTTTAGTGTTAAGAGTGGGACCATAAACCGTTGACACGCACCCGTAAAATATTAACGATACCTACAAGAAAAATGACGACTATCAATGTAGGTACCGATTTTCGGTCGCGAGGACGCGCTACAAATAATGGCGGGGCCGAATTTATACGCGGACCCGAATTGCCCCGATTGAATATTTTACCAGGCCACGAATGCGTCGGACGATATTTTTCTATTTCACCGCCCATTTTTACTATCAATTGCTTAGTTTCCCCTTTAATATCATTCGTGAGACGACTCGCTTCGCCTGCTACGGCTGAGATAAGGAAAAAACTTGCAAATAAACTCAAAGAGCATCGGGATATGATTTGAAACACGAACAACCGTTGGAACGTTGACTCGAGTTTAGGAAATGTTCATTAACAATCGATGCCAATCTGAATCTATAAATCAACAAAGTTTCCTCAAGCATACTTCTGGCTGAATGTGCAAATTCATAGGGTGGGATGAATTTTACATTGATGATGAAATCTATGAATGAATTCAAACAGAACTTAGTAACCTATTGACATAAAGTCTTTTTTTCCTTGTTACTGTAGTCACGGTATAAAATGTACAAGTCGTTTAGTAATAAATTTGTTCTTAATTTGAATTCGATTTCGCGTCGATCGGCTGTGGTACGTAAAATGTTCTTCAGTAAGCGAGGTTATGCTTGCTTATTTGTTTAGACAGCAAAGTTGCTTCATTTCAGGTACATTTTATTGTCTACATTGTGCGAACGTGGAGAGCGGGCACGAATGTTTGCGGAGAGGCTGACAGTTATTATCTCGAATGATTCGGGAACACAATAACCTTTAAAAGGTGTAAAGGCGTGGGCTCAATCGGAGTCCAAGTCCAACTTTAAAATAACTTCTCGGAGGCGAATGGTTTATTGCTTATTGAGTAGCTCTGACGAAACGCGCCTCTGACGATAAAATGCGTCTGGAGTGGAATCTCAGTCAATATCACAATATACGCATCGACATTGAAATTATCGCTCGGTGGGAGGCGCGTTGCACTCGCCGGACGAGACGACCGTGCTAAAACAAAATAAGAATAGTTGGGAACAATCAGCATTGTGGATGGTCGGCCGAGACGCGCAGTGCGACGCTTGCGACGCGGCGCTGCGGCGGCGCGGCGGGCAGGCGCGGGCGCAGCGCGGCGGGCGCGAGCCTCGTTAGCGGGCCGCGCGCGATTGGCCGCCGCGCGGTGGGCGGGGCGCGCGACAAACTGCGCGCACGCAAATAGCGCACCCGCACACAAATTAAAACAATAAAATGAAAGTAATAAAACAAAGTGAGTGCCGAAGAGTACCCGCGCTATCGAAAGGCTTAATGGCCGAGCGGAGGCGGCGGCGCGGGCGTCTCGATTTATTGAGCCAGGAGCTTTCGCCCAGCCAACCGTGGACTGATCGCCTAGCTAAATTCGGCAGGTGCCATCTCATTGTAATCTTTATGTTATCAAATCTAATTTGTGTAAGTATAAAAAAGTCTTCTTAAGAAACATGGCTTGTTCTTTTATTAAGCAACAAATATTTTCTAAAACAAAAATAATGAAGTAAGTCTCCACATATAAGTCTCAAATTGAATAGAGTCGGGTAGAAATTCTCGGAATTTAAGAGTAAGAGTATTGCAGTGGCGACGCCGATGTTTGGTGGCTGAGGAATGTCGTCTCATTTACTAATGTGTCACATGCAGGCGGCGTTGTTTCGTAGCCTGTGGGGCAGGGGGAGCGGGTGCGGAGCGCGGGAAGGGGAGCACAGGGTGCAG